ATAGTATTTAATATGATACATTATCATTTGTGCAGTAATAAAGGATCATTTAAACATAATTTTACAACAGCATAAATTATTACATATAAAACAAATTGTAATTAATTAAATAACTAAATAATATAATGAATTGCCATGTTAAAGAAAACGTCATCTATCATCATCAAATATATATCACGAATTATTGTCTCTGTTTGACAATTGATCAAAGTCTGTGATCTAATAAGAAGAATTATTTTTAATCAATGCTAAATAAATGTACGTTGGAATGTAATAGCGTACGTAATACAGAAGATGTAAACTTGTCACATGTATCTAGATTTATTCATTGTTACACATATTTAAATTTATATTACAATCCTTTTTGACATTTATTTTGTTGTTAATTCTTAATACAGAAAATTATGTTTTGATTGAATTGTTAATAAATAATTTCGAAATACGAAATAATATATGAAATGTACAAGTTGCGTGCCGAGTCATTATGTTCCGTGTAAAGATAGGTATCGCACCATACGAGAAATTAATCATGAGTTTGCACATTCAAAGAATAAAGTGCAGTATAAACATTACACTGGATTTCTATGTTTTTGATAATTGCGGTAGATTATCTTTATGTCTAAAACTCTTATTTAGCTCGTAAAATGCATACAAGGAGTACAAAAAGTATTCGTTCAAAGAAAATATTTTAGCCCTTCTCGACACAATTTTATTTAAAATATTTTTTTAATAAACTTATTTTTAAAAGTAACCGTTATCCAGCGAGAAATAACTCATTGATGTTGAATATTCGATATTGATACGATGATTTCGATACTAACATCTCGATTTGACATCTAATTAATGATCATTTTTTGCTGAATTAACAATTTATTTATAAAGAATAAAATAAATTATAGCTTCTTAAATTATATATACCAAAAAGATGTGTATTAATTATAGAAAAATTCTAAATAAATATAAGCAAAAATTAAAAATTGTATTGTTTGGACATTCAAATATTTATATGCTTCTAAAATTAGAGATACATGTAAAGCTCCTTTGTTTATGTAAAAACAAAATGTATTCATTATATAAAATTGCTAATTAAGTTTATTTTATACAAATAAAGCTTTTTTTATAAAAAATTTTCTTGTACAAATATTTTTTGCACTCACTGTATAAAGTTACAAATTTGCCATCTCTAGATTCTCTTATCGTATAAATTTTTAAAGAAATTTGAAAAAAATATTTTAAAGACGATAAAATAGATTTTCAGGACTGCAAACAAACATTTATTAATTCATTATTGACTATTTGTCTTCTATGACATGCACAGTTGTAGACTAAATCCAATTGATAGTTATGGTATTTTAATATTGTTGCATTAAATTGCATCACTTTGCAACTTTAAATAAAATAAGAATAAATTACATAACTTTGCAGCAATTAAAAGGTAAAATTACGTTCGTACATTTATTATTAAATAACTAGTAAAATAAAATTATAAATATATTACTTTAATATTATTTAGTAACATTTAACATATTTAGTAAGAGATTTGATATATTCATATGTTTAGTAAGACTATGAAATAAATACAGTTTCAAATCTTTTTGTATTTTTTCTTATCTTTCAGAAAGTATGATTGCACATATATGCTTGAGAGGTCTTATACATTTGTGTGATAATCCGGTAGATAATACCAATTGTAAAACAAAAGTAAAGTACATCCATATTCTAAACTTTTTCATTTTTGTATAAGAATCTTTGAATTGATATAATATTTATAATAATTCTGTAAACATAATAAGCATTATTTATTATAGATAATTTTATTATAGATAATTTTATCATAAATAATACTGCAATCGCGAATGTATTAAACTTTGTTAATATTTTTTAAATATTTTAATAACTTTATTATTACATAAATTTAAAAATTTTTTCATTTATCTTTACTTATTTTATATAGTTTATTTAGAGACTTTTTGTTTACTTTTAAAAATAAATAAGTGTAGATATAAAAAATCTGGCTACATTATATGACAAAATCTTAATCACAAAATTGTAAGAAAAATTTCGTAGAAATTTTATTCATAAAGTTATTCATAAAGTTATTTTTGCATTTGTGGATGGATCTGAGTCAACACAGCATCATGGACTGCCGTCCTTGGCAATAACACAATAGCTCATACTTCCGTTTACAATAATTGTTGTCGACAACGCTGATATTATACGATAACGCAATTTTACACCTACAATGAGTATATTGCTAACTTTATAATAAATTTTTTTGATGTAATATTTTATATAATTTTTTTTATTAAATAATTTCACGTACTCTTATTAACACAAATTTATTAACTAAATTCCATTTATTATATTCGGAGCAAAATTAAATCTGCTAATATACATTTATTTACTTGATTCTATTTGTAATTCTATTGTAATTTTAAATTCAATTTGCAATCATTAAAGAAACCTTGTTAATAAACAGGGAAACCTTATCTATGATTATAAAAGGAAATTCCCTCCCCTCTTCCCCAAGTCTAAAGCAAATTATTTTGTTTAAAATATGCAATTTGTCATTTTTCTTTCTTGACATGTTATACGTCCATTAATTAAAAAAAAAATCTTTTTACAGTTTCTAAATCAAAGCACACTCACGATGCCTTTCAAGCATTTCTCTGTCTTTATCATAAAGATCTGCTTCATGACGTCAAAAATCAACAAATAATGAAGCAAAAATTTCTAAACATTCCATTATTATTTCCGCATTCGCCTCGATTTAGTAAATCATTGTAGTAGAAAATAGAGCGTACCTTATACGAGCACACTTATACACTGTTTCGGAGCATCCCCCTTCAAGAACTTTCTCCCAGCTGTCTTCGGACCAATCGAACTTCGAAGAGAGCAACATGCACTTTCCGGCACGCTTTTCAGCAATCACGAAAGCAACACGTCACACCATCACCAATAGTGATCACAAATGTACTCAACTACTGTGTATTCTTTATGACTTTATAAATGACAACGTTGTTTATGTCTACGTGTCATCTATTATAAAATTAACGGAGCATCGACCGGCCCTCAATCCTCTCTTACGTACGACTACAACCGACTTCAGCCGACCACCGAGGTCTGGTCGACGCCGGTTTGCCACCGACTGGTTTGGTCGTTTAGACGCCAAGGCTGACTCCGATATCCGCATTTACAGCTCGTGTACAGCAAAGCCTAGTGTGCATGCGCGATAACTGTATGCGTCATCGGCACTATCTTATACTAATATGATTCTCTCTTTGTCGCCGTTCAATAACTAATTGTTATAAAATTATTAAATTATTAATTAAAAAAAAACATTTTTTGTTGCTTTTTTTCTCTTCTTATATATATTTAATGTATAATATGTATATTATCATATAATGACGATAAAGAAATCGTTATATGTATTTTATAATTGTTATATGTTTGCAAATTATACTATGATAATATAAAATTCATAGACAATATAATGTTACATATACTATTCACTTTTGCATTTTATTAAATTATTACAAAATAAATTAAGTAATTTTTAAATAATAATGTCATGATCTTCACAGAGATGGCGTCTGATATTCCTTTCTTCATATCTACGAAACAAACCATACTACCGACCTATCAGCTCTAAATAAGACACAGCGCTTAAATTTCTAAGCGCTTTGTAGGCGCTGCTGTGTATATATAAAACTCTCTTATATAAAAATGATATATGTATAAGTAGTGTATAATTATACAATTCCATGTATAAAATCTTTAGATTAAGTAAATGCATAAATTCATTATTTTAAGTTAGTTCTTCATATCGAGATTATTACTTAGATATTCAACTGTTTCATCATGTAATGGAATATCGAAGTTAAATCCCAACGGTATTCAGGTCGCATTAATCCACGCCCATTGCAAATATGCATATTTTGATATTGCATTAATGAATTATAAATTCAGCTGTGGCTAAAAGATTATTTGATTAGATAAAGACAAACATACAACAAATAGATAGAGCACGTAAAAAAAAATACAATTACCAATTAAAAGAAAGAATTTTATTTATTAATTAACCAAAAAATGCTGCAAAGCATTTGCAGTATCAAGTGAAGCCAAAGAGTATAAAAATATTTATAGCTTTATATAACTTTATATGTTAATAAAAAATTCAACTAATTAATTATTGTTGTGACAATTATCTCTCTCAGTTTACAAGATTATTGTACAAATGTATCAAATACAGTTCATGATTAATAGAAGGAAGCGCAACAATTCAATTAAGCTGTGGAAGAGTAAGAAAAAGAACCAAATTAATAATATTTGCACCGATAATATTAAATTATTTGTAAAGATTATACAGCACGATTTTTGCGGTTTAGAAAAAAAAATTGATTCTCGTAGTTTTTATGTTAAATCCGCTGAATCCGTAAATTAGAACACAAGCTCTATCGCATCAAGTTTTTGAGAAAAATAGAATTAAAATGCTCTGAAAATACGACAATTCATTAAACCTTAATTATTCCAAAAACCTTTTTTACCATGCTGGTAAAACTTATTTTTTAGCATCCAAAAATCTGTAAGAAACACCTTGTCTGATTCAAAGTTCAAATATTTTGATGTAAACTGTCATTAAAAAACAATATATAGGATCCTGTTACCTTATATGATTCTGTTTTGTATTTTATTATAAAGTAAATGAAATAATTTTTAAAAATATTTCTACATAGCAGTTATGTCTACATAACAGTTTCAACAATGTCTTAAGCTTTACAGAGATGGCGCCTGATGTTCCCTTCTTCTCGTGCATGTTATCTTATAAGAAGTAAACCATATTCCGTTGTATTAGCTGTATACGAGTAACTCTTTTATAAAAATGATACATAAATAATGTGCAATTATACACAATTTTACATATAAATAAATATTAAATTTTTAGATCCAATAAAGATGAATTTATTTTTTAAATCAGTCTTTCATATCAAGATTATCACTTAGACATCCAATTGTTTCATCATATAATGAAAGATTGCAAGTATCGAGAAGCTAAATCCCAACGGCACGCAGGTCGCCTTAATCCACGCCCATACACTGCAAATATGCATATTTTAATATTGCATTAATGATTTATAAATTTAATTGTGTCAATAAAAAATTATTTCTAGATAAAAGTAAACATAAAGAAAATGGATATATTAAAAAATAAATTTAAATCTACCTTCTGAGAGTATCAACATTTTAAAGTTCATTTTTTTCATAGCATAAAACAATCAAGTATATAAATATATTATTCTAAAAAGTAACATAAATTGCAAGTTTGAGGAGCTTCAAGCCCATAAAGCTATCAAAGCATATAAAATACAGCATATAAAAATATCTATATTTATAACTTTATATATCTAATAATGTTACTCAACTAATTAATGATTGTTGTAACAATTACGTCTCTCAATTTGAAGGTGCAAATATATTGTAATATTATCAACATACAGTCTTTAATTAATAAAAGGGAGTGCAATAACTCAATTAAACTTTGGAAGAGTCAGGGAAAGGAAACAAATAATTAACAATATTAAAGTCGCATCAATAATGTTAAATTACTCGTAAGGGTTATCTGATATAGTAAATGGCTCCGTTGGAAGAATTCCACTGTCATAGATTATTACAGGTACTAATGGAATGTCATCGCTATCCGTTTTGGTCTGTTCGATCTTAAAAACTACAGCTTCACCGCTAACCACCTGCGGGAAGAATTATTAAAAATTAACAATTAAATGTGTTGAATATATTAACTTAAAATGTATTAAGAAATTTA